GGGTTCTATCATGCATAACAGTTACTTGGAAAGACAAATGCCATCACTCTGAATGTCCTCTCTTTCTCCTTCTTCCCCCAGCTTTAAATGCTGAGCATGATGTCATATGCGGTGGGACATCCCTTTGGTCAGTTGGGGTCAGCTGTCCCACCTGTGTCCCCTCCCAATGTCTTGTGTAGTCCCAGCCTACGCGCTGGTGGGGTGGTGTGAGAAGCAGAAAAGGCCTTGACTCTGTGTAAGCGCTGCTCAGCAATTATGAAAACATCCCTGTATTATCAGCACTGTTTTCAGCATCAATCCAAAACAGAGCTCCATGCTAGTTACTATGTATAAAATTAACTCTATCCCAGCCAAAACCAGCAGTTCTACTGACCCCAAATTAATTCTCCAGAGGTGCTTCGAATTGCAACAAACACCTACTTACTTTGAATTGCTAGGAGATTTTGAGCCTTATCAATGGCTTTCATGAGTTTGATGCGATAGTGTGCCTTAATCTCTTCTTTTAAACTTGCAAGCAAATTCTCCAGGTCAGGGTTAGCAAGAATGTGAGTTGGAATATACTTTAAAATTACATTCATCACTTCCTTATCCTGAGGTGCCAGCATGTCTTCTTGCACTCCATTATATATGTAGTAACAGTACCGCTACAAAATAATGTTTGAAATATTATGCTTATTGTACAAGTTCTCTGACAAATAATGAATTAGTACAAAATATTTTTAGCTTTTCTATCACTTGAACCTTTTCTGTATTGAAAGGTGTTTGAATACATGGCTACTGGATTTTGGCTATCTCTCTCGGTTCTTTTTAAAGCACTGCCAGTGTCTGACATTTTTACAATACTTCCATGTGTTTTGATGTAAGCATATATACCAACAGAACTGAGGACAGCTTATCACTGATCCCTGAAGTAATAGCCACCAATGTGAGAGGTTAAGAATTTGGGAAGCTGTTTAGACTTGCGAACCCCTTAGAACAAAAGTCAGACTGAGGATCTAGAAAGAGAAACAAATGGGAAAGAAGTTGACAATACTTAACAGCAGTTTGCTATTTTGAAAATTTACATCTTCTAAACCTCATGCGCTGCCTTCTTTTATCAACTACTTTTAAGTAAACAGTTTACAAACAAAAACTGCAGATGGTTACTGCTGCTACTTTTATATTAAAAAGATATTATATAAATACCTCTATATCATTTCTTGAAGGTGCCTTTTCTCGATTATTTATCTCTTTCTCATGTAAATGCATGACAACAAATTGTTCTTCTGGGGTCAATGGTTGGTTGTCTGTATAATGTATGCCACGTAATTCTGGCATATGAGCAAGTGCACACAGTGAAATGAAATCCAAACTGTTTAACAAAGCTGGTGTAAAATGATAATACAAGTTTAGTGAATAAAGAAGCTGTAATCGATTCTTAAATTAATATGGACAACTGACAAGCATTATATAAACCACTGACACTGAACTGAGGACAAGTATGACCTAGGAAGTACTTCATAACATTACAGGACATTACCTATCAGAATTCCATTGACTTCTTTCTGTATGCTTGAGCTTTTTCCTAGAAAGACCAAATTCTTTTGAAGCTTTAAGCACCAGTTAAGAAAATCAAATACAGGAATATTTTTCAACTAAGATATTATTTCAGATTGGTGGAAAACAAAAAAACCCCCAATGTCACAAAGAAGCCTCCAGTTTTTACTTAGCATTAGCAAAACATTAGAATCATGTGTTAAATAATCTTGCCAATTTTTGGGACTATAAGCTAGATTCAGGAAAGCATTCAACTCCTGCTTAAGACTACAGTGCTTACTTATCTCCCTGCACAAACCATATTTTCTGCATTGGGCCATTCTATTTGAATATAAAAGCAATTCTATAAGATGTATAGTTCCACCAAATATACTGCACATGAAAAATATGAGAAGAACAAACTATTACCATGTGCTTTTCAGAGTACAAATAAACAGTTTTTTTAACAAAATTAATACATTATGCCTTTTCACCAAGAAAAGTACCATGACCTGCTACCCACATCCCACCCATGTACTGTAGAAGTACATGGAGTAGAAGAATCAAGTGTGTGATAAAGAAAGTGTTAAAGAGACCTAAAGAACAAAACCAAATCCTTCTTAAATAGCATACACAGGGACTAAGCAGATATTGAAGCTATAGTTTCTCATCTATCCCAGGGAAACAAAACAATTTTTAACACTTCAGGGAAGCAAAGCAACAATGTGGGATGAGTATATTCACAGACAGACTGACAGTATGTAGAAAACTATGGTTTATGAATATCTCTTGACATAGAGGACATTTAATTCAATTAATTAATTACTTCTAAAACAAGTAAATATTTACTTATAACTCAATAATAACTTACTCATTTTGGAATATTCAGACTAAGTAATGGAGTTAATTTGACATCTGCAGCTGGTAAGATACTTAAAGCCTAAAAAACTTGTTTTCGCAAAATGTTTGCTATAAACATATTGGTAAACTTAAACAGTAACTTAAACTCTTAACCTTATTTGCTTTATAGCTTTATAGCACAATGTCATGTTGAATCAACAGCATATAATACCTCATACTGTCGGATTTACAGATATACACATAGTTTGCTAACAAATACATCAATTACATGGTTTAGACATAAACAGCGCACTAAGCAACATTCCTTGATCCCTTTCATTTGATCCTCAAGTAAACATTTTAATGCCTGTCCCCTATCTTGTTTTGCTACGCAAAACTCACAAATACAAGCATTACAAGGGTGCTCCTTGAATTTGTTTCTGTTTTCTTGTTGGTATTAACTTTTATTTCTAGCAATAAGAGCTTAATTGTATTTTTTAATTGTCTACATTGCAAACAATCTGTTCCAAATAATTGCACAAGATTATTTGGAAGGACAAACCTAACTAATGAATCAGAAACCAGCCTTACTTTTAATAAAGTTATGCATGCTTTTGTAAATTTGCCTATACTAACCCTGAGGTGATAAGCCTGAGAGTGTTTATTAGGAACAAGTGATTTTTCCAGGGATGATGCTTTAACAGATAGGCAATTAGAAATGAAAATGCATAGAACAAGCAAGGCTAAACTTATAAATACATTCAAATATGGATACGCGGTGAGGCTGTTCTCTGCTTTGCTGAACCCAGTGATGTTCCCATCACTGAAGAGGACTTTATTTTGTGAAAATTTTTCATTTTTAAATCTCATGCACTAGGAGTATAGTTATTAGCTATGGAATCACTTGGGTTTCGGTCGTAACTTTGTTCTTTGAATGGAGCTGCCAAAGTCCGTGATGGTTGTTGCATCAAAGGAGGATAACAGCTGCTCTTAAGGACAAGCTGAGATTGGAAAAAAAAGCAATAGTTTTACACAGTACAGTAATTTAAATAATCTTCTTAGAGCTAGAATGGGGTTAAATATCAAGTAGTATAAAGAGCAAATACATAAGTCTATCTGAGAGTCATTTGATCACCAATCTGTTTTCAGATCCTGATGTTCCACATGTATAAGAGTAATTTTACACAATGCTTCGGTAGGAGTACTCATGCATTTTTTTGCATAATCAAGGTCTTTTTAATAAATATGACAAGGCACTAGTACATTATCTACTACTCTCTACTCCCTCACATCTCCAACTTGTTTCTCTTCTTCTCCTTAAATTTGCTTAAATTTAGAAATTCTTATTCCTCAAGCCTTTGTTAATGACCTGTCTACTTTTAACACTCAATCCCTGTAATAGTTGGACAATAATACAAGTTAACCAATTCAGCTCTCATCTCTCTCTCTCTCCCACATCAATACAGGATTTGTAATAGATTTCTTCTGTCTGTTCATTCTATGTTTTCTCAGGTGACTCAGATTCTACTGATTGCCTTGTCATCAGTCCTGATGTCTAAACTTATGCCCACAGGCATAAGGGACACATGATTGGGAACTATGTTTCTTATCAAGATACCCTCAGAGAGAAAACGTACATAGGATAGAATCATGAATGTACTTCATACCATGGTTCCTAAAGCTCTCAGTCTAAATTCATATTTAGCTTGTTTCTGTATTACATATTGTTTAACAAATTTAAGTAGTTGATGAGCAGTTAAGCTCATCTTCTCAGCATTTTATGACCTCTGAAGACAGTATACTAAAGCATAAAATAGCTTCATTACGTTTAAACTATAGATACAGCTATGAATTTATTTTTTTTCAGTCTATCATGAGCTTCAGTGAGAACAATACAGTTTGTCAATCTGAAATGCAGGCTAAGGCAAGATTATTACAACCGCCTTGCATTTGTCTTCTCACTGACAGGGCTAATTTTATCAGCAATGAAAAAAACATTCACAATACTGCTGCAATCATACTCCTTAAATTAGCTTCTGAAAGTTCATAGAATCTTTTCAGTACAATCTCTTCCACCACACACTAGACAGGTGGGTAGGTCCCTGAATTACAGTTCTGGGGAACAAACTGATACAGGATCACAGAATGGTCAGGGTTGGAAGGGATGTCTGACGACCATCTAGTCCAACCCCCCTGTCAAAGCAGGATCACCTAGCAAAGATCACATAGGAACATGTCCAGGCAGGTTTTGAATGTCTCCAGAGAAGGAGACTCCACAACCTCTCTGGGCAGCCTGGGCCATGCTCTGTTACCCCCACAGTAAAAAAGTTTTTCCTCATGTATTAGGTTGAACCTCATGTGTACTAATTTGTGACCATTGCCCCTTGTCCTATCACACAACAGAGAAGGGTCTGATCCCATCCTCCTGACACTCACCCTTTAGATTAACAATAACAACAACAACAACAACAGTAATATAACCTAAATAAAATATTATTGACATTGGGAGATTTTCCCCAGAAAGTCACTCTGTCTTTAGGAAATGATGAAGTCAGCATCAACTCTGAATTCTCATCTCCTCTCTTAATTAGGCCCACTTTGTAAACTATGTTCCTTCTCCCCCACTAGGTAGAAGAGACTTGCAGAGCAGGTGCCTTGCTAATGGTGATACCAATAGGAACCCCTTGGCCAAAAAGTTAGTCAGAGAGGAGCAGTAGTTTCTTGAGAAGAAAGTCAGTCACCTGGCAAAAATCTACTGCTTACATGACACAAAAAATTTCAGGACTGGCTAAATCAGCTCCTCTGTCTTATATAAATCCCTAATAATAATAATATGACACCAAAAATCATGCTGGCAGATGTAAATTAAGGTATACCCTGACACAAGGGGAGAGAGCACATACCTGATACAATTCTGAAGGTGCAGCTGAAGCAGAAGCAGGTAAGGGCAGTAACTCCGGTAGTTGTCTTGCATGACTCATGTTATTTACAGAATCATTTTGTGACTAGAAAGAAATTAACAACAACTTTAAAGACATTTATGAAATACACTGTTTTGACAAGAATTCATTCAGAAAGAACAGAGACTTTCAGTTTTCACTGAAAATCATAGATTGCAACTTTTCTCATTTGAAGGAAATGGATATTCTGTGGAGTGGATTCCTCTGCAAAACAGGTTTTCAGATTGCACTGTAGTCATTTGATACAGCTTCTAATAACCAATAAATATCAGATTTAAAAAAAAAACCCACAACATTTTTGTATCACTCAAAACAATTCAAATTGTTTTAAATATGTTTCGTTATACTACTGTACTAAGAATTCTACATGTTGTGCAGAGTTTGTAATGGTGTAAACACTGCCTATTAAAATATTAAAACCTACAAGACTGCCAAATTGACAGTGAAACAGTCCAACTTGTGTGAACTCCAGAACAGAAATATAAAGCATCACTGGGGAAAAATAACCCACTAGATATTTTTAATGTCTGTAATGACTCAGTTTCAGACGAAGCTATATTGACAGGATCCCACTGGAAGACCAGATTGTTCACAAGGAGTCTGCAAAGTGTTTAAATACAAATGTCAGAACACCTAATACATCTTAGGACTATGCTCCACCTCCACAAGGTGAAAATGCTTTGATTTGGAAGTGAAAAACCTTCCATGCCTCCATAGGAAGTTCTCTAAAGATATTTTCTCAGAATTATTTAGCCTCATAGTGTTTTGAGATGTTTTTGAATGTCAACTTTCCTTAGTATAGGCAAAAACCTCATCCCTAGTCTGTTAAGTTTCCTAAATCAAATTTGCTTAGGAGATGCACAAGGAACAAATTCCCAAATACATAGTGACATGATCAGAAAAAGGAGGTGGAAGTATGTGATATCTGAACACCAGTTAATTAAATCACCATGAAAGAGGAAGTTATTACCCAATACAATTACACTTGAATAATGTATAATAAATTTTTACAGAGTTTTTAATACATTTTTAGTAAGGGATTACTGCTTTCTGATATATGACTGGAAAACTAGGCTGTCCAAACTTAGTTTTTCAGCAGACAAAACTGTGCTTGCCTCAATATCAAAGTAGAGCCCATTTAGAAATAAAACTTGAGAAAGGACTGATCTGATTTACCTCCTTGGTATTCCCCTGCGTGCCTGCACACAGGCACACAGAAATCAAGACATTATCACTGTCAGGCATATTTCACTGTCTGGGGGCAGATGAGGAGAGAGTTGA